AAACAACAAGGTCCGGAAGATGGAAAAGGTACATGAGCGGAAAGGGTTGACACTGTCACTACAAGCGTGCGGAAAGTGAAAGGCAACTAGACCTAGATACTTATCAAGTCGAAACCTGAATGACGCTTTGCTTGTTGAAGAGACTATCTCTTCTGGCAATGCAACCGTAAGTTATGTCCCCGCGTGCCCCTATACGGATACCAGAAAGACTGGTCGTCAAACCTAAGACCTGATATATCCTTGGCGATCTTAAATGTCTCCATTCGGTCTCCTCTCATCCGCCTCTGTGTGAGGGAGAACAGATTTAAATCTATGAACCGCTGTTCATAGCTCTTCCTCCGTTACCCAGATATCATTCTCGTGACTAGACGTTAAACCATCTCTAAGGTATCAACGTCATTCCGAAAGAACGGAGCCCAAGTCTGCACACAATATTTCAGATGCGGACGAACGATGCTTTTGTAAAGAGGGACAAAGTCCTCTGGTTTTCTGCAAGTCATCGTTGCGCAAAGATGAAACAGGTGTCCTCTGGCTTTGTTTGCGGCATTCACACATTGGGTGCTGGGTTTGAAATCCCTAGTGACCACTACGCCTAGATCCTTTGCCTCGTGTACCTTTTGTATTGGCTCCTTGCTGTCTCTTCTTCATTTCTGGTGGTCACTATCTGACATTTAGAGACATTTAGTGGCAGGTCCCATTTTTCGGCCCATCGTTGTACTACCTTTATGTCCCTTGCTAGATCCCATCCAGCTATCTTGACATCATCTGCAAACAGAAAACAAGGATTTTGGAGATCCCGTGCTAGGTCGGTAATGTATAGCAGGAACAGCAGTGGTTCAGGTAACGATCCTTGGGGTACACCGCCTGTGACCACTTCCTTCTCGGATGTGTAAGCTCCTACTAAACGTCCTCTGCGCAAGAAAGCCCATCATCCATCTTCTGACTTACCCATCTACTCCCAATAACTGCATCTTATGCTCCAACAGATGGTGACTGACCGAGTCGAATGCCTTTTGGAAGTCCAGATGGCATACATCCACCGGTAGGCCCTCATTAATTCTACGTGTGGCCTCATCTAGGAACACCAGCAGATTCATCAGACAAGATCGCTTTTCAAAAAATCCGTGCTGAGCTGCTACCAATTGCCCGCTACTGACTATGCAGTGGCATATTTGTCTTCCATTTAGGCGCTCCAAAAACTTACATATTACTGATGTCAAACATACTGATGTGTAATTCTCGGTTTTTCGCCGGGATCCAGACTTGTGTATTGCCACTACTGTGGCTTCGCGTCAGTCGTTCGAGACAGTTCCCAGTCAAAGCGACTCTTTAAATAACTCGAAGATCGGTCCCACTGTGACGTCAGCCAGCGTTTGTACAATCGCTGGGTGAATTCCTTCAGGCCCCACCGCATTGAACCTATTCAGCCCTGCTAACTTCCGCTGCACATCCTGAATTTCCACAATGATTGGAAGCATCTTGCAGTTACCTTCGACTGATGGAAGGTTATCTGCCAACCTGGGGATCCTGTACGTGCTTTTGAAGAACCGTAACAGGATACGTGCTCTATTGCCTTCACTCACTGCTAACTCTCCGGTTGACGATTCCAGAGTGCCAACCGTTTCCTGAGTATTGCGCTTAGATTCAACATACGCGTAAAAAAACTNTGAATTTCGCTTGATGTTTTGCGCCATGTTTCTCTCAAATTGATATTCAGCCTCTCTTTGCACTTTCTGTGCATAGTTGCGCGCTTGCTTGGAACCATTCCACGACTGATAGGTGCCATACAGTTTGTAGACCACCCACCGTCTTCTACGAATGGTTATAGCTCTATCTACATCAATGAGGCCGTTACTTCTTTTCTAACGGATCAAAAGGCGCAAACCTATCCGTGAGTAGGAGAAGTCCTGTCTTTATATGGTTCTATCTGGTTTCCAGAGATGCATCAGCTGGATGGGGTACCCAGTTTTTATCCTGCGCAGCTCTGGCCAGTTCTTCTTGGCTGACTTTACCATATCGCCTCCAAGTTTGGCCGCTGGTTTGGTATCTACTTTCTAGCGTTAGTCGCAAGACCACATGATCACTTTCCCCTGGGGGCTCCTCCTGGATTATCATTGTTATGCCACCCGGGGTTCTGGTGATCACCAGATCCAGTATGGTCGGCCTGTCATTTGATCTAAAATGGGTGGCTTGACGCATGTGTTGTGATAATGCGTGCTGCTGAAGCCACTCTACGAGCAGTCCACCCCCGATATCTGCTGGTGCCCTGTCTTTACTCCAGTTGATCTCGGGCATGTTGAAGTCCCCTACTAACAACACCCTTCTGGACGTGGCAAGGAGTAATCGCAGCTGAGCAATCAATTCCTGATGTTCTGTCTCAGTTGCCTGCGGAGCCCGGTACACGCACATGACGGCTAATGAGTTGCTGTCTATTTTAACTACGCAACTGATTGCTTGTATGTTGGGAGTCGCTAGGGCAGCTGCTGCCTCCCACTGCATGTGATCTGATTTTATCATTACCGTAACCCTACCCCCTTGCCTGCCCTCCACCCTGTCTTGTCCGTAAATCGTGTATTCATCCATCGCCGGGGTGATATGGTGCCTCCGCATCCAGGATTCAGTTATGGCCACTATGTATATACCTGGGGTGCGCCGTCGCACCTCTCTCTACTTATCCCGTACACTGCAAGCATTGGTGTACCAAAGTGAGACTGCGTCTGCTTGCGCATGCCTGCTGGGTCATGAGCTCGTTTCTGGAGGATTCCTCGATCGTAATGCCCGAGGTGTTTCCCCATTTTTTGAGGTTACGGATGTGGTCGTAGCTTGTTCCACTTCCCAATCCATTCCACTTTTATCCCTAGAAATGACTTTTATCGTCATTGCAAAAGCCTCCTCTACCCCCGTAGGTACATTTTCCTTCACGTTTGAAGTACTTAATTTCCATTGTAATTGGAGTTCAGGTCAGATCAGGTCAGTCTTGAAGGCTTGAATTATTACACCGGTGCGAGGCTAGGCCCAATGGTCCCGGATCTTAGTAGTTTCCAAGGTTTCTTCTGGGGGCGGATGTTGGGTAGTTAGAGTGAATCCGCGTCCTGTTTGTACAAGATCACCTAAAACGATTTAAGAGGAGGGGAAAGGGGTACAGTATCTGCATGAAGTGCAAGAAATCGGGAAGTACAGGAAAAAACACTGAACATGATATTAATAACGTTATGAGGCAGGGAGGTGTTTACCGTTCATGGATTAGAAAGCGGATCTTGTGGGGGCATTTATTAATTCTTCGGGGAGGCTATTCCAAGGAGGAATAACCCTGTAGGTGAAAGAGCACTAACGGACTAGTGTACGGGCACGCGGTTTGAAGAGTTTCACTCTATACCCACGAAGATTGTCTGTACCAGTGCGCACAAAGAAGTCATCAACCATGCCGGAATTAAAGGGATTGTACAGTAGAAAGATGCCACCTCTTATCCGGCGGGTTTCTAGGGGATACAGGTACAGATGGAAAGGCGTGTAGGGTAAGGGATGGAGGACGAGCCATGCACAAGTTTTACCGCCCTCCGTTGTACACTCTCCAGGGCCGTACAATCGCGCACCAGGCGGGAGTGAGCAATCTGACTCCCGTATTCCAACAAGGGTCGGACGTACGTGCTATATAGAAGCTGAAAGTCATCTCTACCTATTCTGGGAAAATAACGTCCTATGAAGTTAAGCACACGGAAGGCGGATCTACTAGCGTTTTGTTGGTGGTAAGAGAATGAAAGCAACCTGGTCAACCAGAAACCAAGGATCTTGTGGTGTTCTACACTCTCCATAGTCGTGGAAGCGGTAGCTTTGAAGCTATGTACGAGGACCTTTCCAAACGACATACTCACGCATTTGTCGTCGTTTATTGAAAGTTTCCAGGCAGCAGAGCAGTCTTTGACTGTATCCACTGCTGACTGAACAGCCATTGGGGGGGGGGTGCCTCAAATTGTCACATCATCAGCGTACATTGCTACGTTGACTCCGATC